GTGGCTTCATGGCAGAATTCCTTCCTGCTGAGTTTACTTGCAAAGATATAGCTCTACCTTTTGACTTGAGTCCTAAATAGTGACCTTGGGAATTCTGATACTAGGATTCCGGTTGTAGTGAATTCTTTCCTATTCTCCCTGCCACCAGACCTAATGTATCTCATCCTTAAATACCATCAAAGACAGCAGAAATTCTTATTCGTATTAAAATAACTAAATTGTTTCTTAATAAAGAAAGCCCCTGCCCCAACCGGTTTGGCTCAGTGGATAGAGCGTCGGCCTGTGGACTGAAGGGTCCCAGGTTCGATTCCGGTCAAGGGCATATACCTTGGTTGCGGGCATATCCCCAATAGGGGGTGTGCAGGAGGCAGCTGATCGATGATGTTTCTCTCTCATCGATGTTTCTAACTCTCTATCCCTCTCCCTTCCTCTCTGTAAAAAAAAAAAAATCAAATATATTAAAAAAGAAGAAGAAAAAGAAAGCCCCTAAAGAACAGCAGTTCTCAAGAAAGGTAACGGTCTCTTTCAGGGGGTATTTGGAAATGTATGGGTGTATTTTTGGTTATCACAACGATGGGGGTGCTACTGGCCTTTTGCTGCCTTAAGGCCCGGATGCCAAAGGTCTGAGCAATTCTGTACAAGAACTGTCCTGCCCAGTATGCCAGTATTGCTCCCAGTGAGAACACAGTCCAAAGAATGGCGAGCCTTTTCCTTTATTCATCCATAGTACTCCTTCCTTATATAGAAGTAATCATGATAATAATATAAACAACTCTATTTTTTAGCTTTTCCTTCTGCTGGTACCATATTCAATGCTTTACTTGTAAGCATACATAATCCTTACAGATTATTAAGAGGATGCCATTTTGTAGCTGATAAAACCAAAGCTTAGATGTTTAGGTACCTAGGGAAAAGGTTCATTTCAAATTTACCGGTCTTTGTGCCAGTCTCTCTAAACCACTTCTCTGTACTGCCACCACTTGATCCCTAGCAGTTTACCCCTCTGCATTTTCAATATGGACAAATGAAACATAGGGTAATCTTTAGGTGCCTTGAGGATTTTTTGTTAATTAAAAAAGAAAACACAACTAGTAAATGAAGTGCACAGGAACAAACTGTAAGTAGATGGAGAGGCTGTGGAATGGATTTTAGATAAGATACATGTGTGGATTAAAGTGCACCTTGAGCAGGACAGTTTGTTCCTGATCTGGAATTTTTTAGGCTTTTGAATTGCACTAGTAATTTGGGATTAACAAGTTTATTACTCCTTAATTTTATACATGCTTAATTTCAACTTTCCTAACAAAACAGTTCATAGCTTACTTGAGGGGAAAAAGTGTTTTATGTGTGAGTATGTTGAAATCAGATGTTTATTAAACTCTTAAATATAATATCTCACAGTGTAGCACTTTAAAAACAGCTTTATAAGGCTAGTCACCAAAAAGGCAATTAATGCTTTCCTTGCACATGTTGACATTTTACGATTTTATACTTTATGATTTGTTGAAATGTAAAAACTGTGGTACTTTGTTTTATAAATTTGCCTAATATCTAATTTTTAGTCTTCATCTTTAGCATAATTTTTATGCTTTTATTAAACATTTTAGTTTCGCTTTGATAGTCTCATGTGTTTTTTTGTTTGTTTCTTGTTTTATTTTATTTTATTTTTAATATATTTTTTCTTTTTTTTTCTTGTTTTATTTTAACTGCTAAACCAAATTCTGTTTTACCAGATGTCAAGTTAGGAAATGAAAGAGGGAGTAAACCTCCAAAAAGAAAGCGATAGAGACAGTATTATATAAGCATTTAGACAGTTGGGTAATACACTTACTCTCACAACTGTATCACAGCCCAAGTTTCTTATTTGCCAAGTTGAAGTCCAGCATTATTTAAGGAAAGGATGAATCTAAACAAGCTCTGTGGCAAAGTATTTTTTAAATTTATTTTTTAAAATTAATTTTTCAATTACAGTTGATATACAATATTATACTAGTTTCAGATATACAACATAGTGCCTACTCATTTATATACCTTATGATGTGATCACTCCAATAAGTCAAGTACCTGTCTGACACTACATATAGTTACAGTATTGACTATATTCCCTAAGCCAACTGTGGGCAAACTACGGCCCGCAGGCCGGATCCGGCCCGTTTGAAATGAATAAAACTAAAAAAAAAAAAAAAGACTGTACCCTTTTATGTAATGGTGTTTACTTTGAATTTATATTAGTTCACACAAACACTCCATCCATGCTTTTGTTCCGGCCCTCCGGTCCAGTTTAAGAACCCGTTGTGGCCCTCGAGTCAAAAAGTTTGCCCACCCCTGCCTAAGCTGTACTTTACGGCCCTGTGACTGTTTTTATAAGTGACAATTTGTACTTCTTAAACCCTTTTACCTTTTTCACTCATCGCCCCAACCCCTCTCCCATCTGGTGACTATCAATTTATCTTTATCCATGAGTTAGTTTCTGTTTTGTTTATTTTGCTTTTTAGATTTCATATGTAAAATCGTATGGTATTAGTTTTTCTTTGTCTGACCTATTTCAGTCAGCATAGTATCCTTTAGGTCCATCCATGTAGTTGCAAATGGCAAGATTTCATTCTTTCTTATAGTTGAGTGATACTCCATTCTATTTATGTTCTACATTTTCTTTATCTACTCATCTATTGATGGACACTTAAGTTGCCTCCAGATCTTGGCCACTGTAAATAATGCTGCAATAAACATAGGAATGTATGTATCTTTTTGAATTCGTGTTTTGGATTTCTTCAGATAAATATCCGGAAGTGGAATTGCTGGGTCACATGGTGGTTATATTTTTAATTTTTTGAGGAACCTCAATACTGTTTTTCATAGTGACTGCACCAATGACAACACCAACAATGCATGAAAGTTCCCTTTCCTCCACATCCTTGCCAACAGTGTTTGTTGATTTAATGATGATAGCCATTCTGACAGGTGTAAGGTGATACCTCATTGTAGTTTTAATTTGCATTTCTTTGATGATTAGTGATGCCATGAAGCTTTCCATCTGTTTTCTTCTAAGAGATTTATAGTTTTAGCTTTTATGTAAAGTTTTTAATCCATTTTGAGTTTGTTTTTGCACATGGCATGAGGTAAGGATCTAACTTCATTCCTTTACATGTGGATACACGGTTTCCCCAGCACCCTTTGTTGAAAAAATTGTCTTTTCCTCATTGAATGGTCTTAGTACCCTTGTTGAAAATGATCTGCCATATATGCAACTTGATAAATACTATCTCTTAGAATAATGAATCATAAAACTGTTTTGTACTAATAGCAGAATTAACAAATGAAATAAAATAGAAAGCACAGACCTATGTATTCTAGTGTATAAAAGTGGCATTATACTATGAAGGAGCAGAAAACAATATTTAAAAAACAGAGCTAGAGTAACTGGTTAATTATTTATAAATTAAAGTAACATTTCTCCCACATCAAAATTAACCCCCAAAGGTCTAAAAAGTAATAATAATGTATCTGTACATATCTATGTATGAGACTTTTGATATAAGAATGGGGAGCTACTTTTCTAAGCATAAAAAAGTAGTGGACTCAATCATAAAAATAAAGCAGAACAGATTTAATGATATAAAATTTAAAAACTATTGCCAAAAAACAATTGGCAAACCATAAAAAATTATTGTATCATCTTTGGCAAAATTTTAATATCCTTAATGTACAAAGTGTTAATAATTTGATTAGTAGAATATCCTACTTTTAAAAATAGGCACAAGATACAAAAAAATTGAAAATACAAATGACCAATGTATGAAATAATATTTAAATTCTTAAAAAATGCAACTAAACAGTAAAATACTATTTTTTACCCATTGGAATTTAAAGATAATTTTACAGAGGAAAATAATTGATATACGATTGGTGGCAATATAGACTGGAACTACATTTCTGGATAACACTTAAGTATAAGCACAAAGGTTCTTAAAGTATCTATTTCTAAATGAGTGGTATTTCTAAATGACTTGATCCTGGAACAAAATACTATATTAAGGGAAAAACAACAATAGCAAATCCCAATAAAGTCTGGAGTTTAGTGAATAGCATTGTACCAATGTTATTTCCTTATTATTTTTGGGCAAAGGTACCATGGTTATGTAAGATGTCACAATCAAGGGAAGCTGGGTGAGGGGAATATGTGAACTCTCTACACCATCTCTGCATATTTTCGTAAATCAAAAATCATTGTAGGACAGTGAACAGCATGGTGATGTGAAAGGACCTCCAAGTCTCTCCTCTTGAAGTTACAAGTTGGACAACTCTAATTCTACAGAGGATTCCCTGCTAACAAGCATTGAGACACCTGAATGGGGGCCTATCTGAGCAAATGGCAGAGACAGGACAGGGGGTGAGGGGAAGATAGAGACAGAAGCCATGTGCAGTCTGGTGCCTACTCTGGCCCCAGCAGAGAGCAGAGGCAGTAATTGGGCCTAGGTGGCTGGTACTCATTGAGGCTGGGCCAAGGAGCAGAGTAGCAGTGTAACGGGTTGCAGCTTTCCTTATCCCACCAGCACCAGACAGAGAATTTAGCAGAGTGGGAACCAGCCCACCCCACCCACCTGTGGCCTAATCTGGCCGTAAAACCCTTACTCGGCAGATCACAAAGGAGCTGAAAAAAGCTTTTCAGCTTATGTGGTCTGTGAACAGCATGGTGATGTGATGGTCTGTACCCTTTGTGTCTAAATCCACTTAAGAGAAACAGAGTCCCAGATACATGAACCAGTATGCCCCTGCCCACCTTTCCCCACCCACATCAGCATAGCCTGGTAGAGGCAGCTGGGTCCGCTCAGACTGAGCAGCTCTGGCTGGTGGCTTCTGGCTACAGGAAGGCAGCATCAAGAACATATAGAAGACCCATACCCCACCATTTCCCAAT